TTTTAATTACAAAAAAGTCATGTAACTCTTTTTAAAAGCTAAACGAAGTTCATGGTTTTCTAATTGCTAACTGCAACGAATGTTAATGACTTTGCATTACGTTATTCACACGGGCAATGTTCAAAAGCCCGTTTTACTTTGTGTCAAATGTTACGTAACAACAGAAAACGACCGTGCGCCTGATAAGCATGGGCAATTGTCACAAATGACCATTCGGAGAGCAAGTGAGAAAACTGTTGAGCTCTTGTTCCATTAAACTATATAAGAATAAATGTTGGATTTCTTTAAGTCGGCGAATGCTAGTACATCTCTTTGGATTTATTCTAAAAAAGTTCATTAAATTTCATATCGAGATCCGGTTTAGCTTATATACTTTTAAATTGTTTGGTTTCTCGAATTTATTCCAGTTGCTTAGGGGGCAACCCTATCCTCTCACAATACGATGTAATCTTCTCGAATTTATTTACCTTTAATGAGTTACTTACAAAGTTTCTTCAATGATATCCTAAAAGTAACATGGCGGCATAGCTTTCTTTCTTTCCGAACCTTCTCGTTACGGCTTAATTTTTTTTTTTTTTATGCGGAGATCTTCGTGATCGTGATTGTAGTAATAATCGTTCAAGTGACTCGAAATATTTTCCTCTAAGCAATTGCTTTTTGTTAGGGTGTTGGGAACGTCATTTCATTCTTTCGTAACTGTAGATTTAATTCTATTTTTCCACAACCAAACTGAAACTTGAGACACATTTTCATAAAACTAAACATAGCAAAGCTTGTGCTTGAAAAGATTTCTTTGATTCACACACACTAACTTTTCTTTGATGCCGCATCAACTATGGAAAGCCGAAAGTAGCAAAATTCGACATATTTAGTTATTTCAATATCGGTAGAGTAAATATGGTCTTCAAGCAAGAAAAAACTTATTGAATGCGTAGAAGATCAGTTTACAAAATTTTGTTCCCATAATTTTCACATTAAAAATGTACCACGTTCTAGAAGATCAGTTGAAACTGATGAACAAAAAATGAAGAGACTATGACTGATGCAAACAGACGAATAACAAATCGTAAAGTTTCGGAGAGATTATATATATCGAATTCGACCCCTCATAATAATGTATTTATCCACTATAAAAAAAAAAAATACACGAAATGACTTTCCGAACAAGCCAATAGCTTCGCAAGCAACAAACGGTGAGGTGGAACTAAGCCAATAGATCATATAGATTTAGTTTTTTGGTCATACAGACGTACAAAATGCTTACGTGCCTTACATTGAAAATGTCACTTACTTAGAACGTATGTTCGTATATTAAGGTTATTTTATAGAGATGTTGCGTGTAAGGCGATCTCTTTCAACAAATAACTTTTTAGCTATATCGATTTTCGTAACCATTGAAGTTCGATTAGGATGGAACTTATCTCCAACTTCGTTAGATGCCTTATAGCAAGAGGTGATATATGTTAAAAAAGGGCGAGAATAAGAGAGAGAATTAATATTTCACACTTATTTTGAGACTCGAATCTAGATTTTCGAAAGTCCTTTCGCTTTGAAGAGTTTTTTTGCAAATGCCTTAAGAAATTGCACACGAAGAAGCAAAGATAAGCGGCGCTTCAAGGAAACTAAGGCTGTTTTACACTAAGAACAAAGATTTATTATTCGACGTAACGCATTTACTTTGTTCAGCATAGTCTCTGGACTCTATGCATCGGTTTGAACGGTCATGAGCGGGGGCTTCAAATTATCCCGGTCCTTGAATGTTAGAATTTTAGAGGAAAACAACGTCGACATAATACTTTTTTTTCATCGATAAACGCGTTCTCCATTCATCAGGCCATAGTTTAAAGACAATCAATCATCCGCCTGAGTGAGCCGAGTAGGCATAGAATTTCGATAAACAACTCAAGGGCCGTGGGTTCAAAACTCAAGTCCGGTTCGTTTTCAATAAAGCTGACAGCTACCGATGCTTTGGCCTTTGAATTCGTTTGTCTGATTAAATTAACTGTAATAATAACAACAATAAAGTGTAAATGCAATTTTCAGTCAACAATCACAGTTAGAAGAAAAAGCGTATAGTAGAGCTTCACCAAAGCCATAACATCTTTGGAAATAAGGTGCATTCATTGTTGCAAGGGTTAACCCGTTAAAGCCGATTATTTATCCCTCTAGCAGATAATCTAAAAAAACATGCACTTTTTAGGCATTCATTTCATTTAATCGGTTCATCATACATACATTGCAATTAAAATGATTTTTACAATACTTCATATATTTTTCAGAAAACTTTTTGTACCTACCCTTCTAGCCCTACCCGAACAGAAAAGCAATAAAAAAGTTATTACACCATTACTGTCTTATAATAAAGGATAAAATCAATCACGATTGTAATTTTAAAGAGATTTATGTTCATGGTTGCCAAGTATGCTCAAAATGACTAATGATGAATAAAGCAAACGAACCGAATGCATGTCAGTCAGCGTAAAAGATTTTGTAGATAAGCAATGACATTTATCATACCCTGACCTAAATGATAATAGAGAAGAGAGATCTTTAACCATTACAGTTTGTGTGCATATGTGTGTGTGTGTGTGTGTGTGTGTGTGTTTGAAAGAAAGAGACATTCATAGCAAAATAGCTATTAAAGGATTACAGTTAAGCTAAAAGTAAAATGAAAGTAGAATTACAAGTAACAAGAAAATAGTTGTTAAATAAACTATATTTTGCATTAGCATATCGTATGCGATTCATCGTACAGAAGAGCGGAAGAGAAAAATGTTCACATGTTCATACAAATTGCATAAATGAAAATGTTAGGTTTAAACTAAACTCAAAAGTTGTGAAAATTGTTTTTGATGCTCGTTAAATGTCATTTTCTTTTGGCAATCAACCAGCGCTAATAATGATTATGATTAGAAACAAGGGAAACAAGTGCGAAATGGTCGCGAGTTTATTATATTAACCCAAGAAATTTTTTAAGCACCACTCATAAAGAGTGTCTCACAATGAATTAACTTAATTTTATTTGGAATGCAACGCGATGCAACTGCCTTGCCACGAACCAAATAAATGATGCGTTTAACATCAAGTCTCTGTTAAGTAGGCGCCCAACTAACATACATTCTGGTTAATCGAATTTCTTCTCTAAGATTTTAAAATTTCTAAGATCTAAGATATGAGATAAGAGACAAAAAACATACTTATCTCATACTTATGCTTTTATTAAACTTTTCTTGCTCTTCATTTTTTTTTTTTTTTTTTTTTGTTCTTTTTACAAACCACAAAACACTTAAATCATTCCACAATTGCAAACATTTTACTTAATTGTGGTAAACGTTCGTTCTATTTGCAAATATTTGTAGAGAATTCACTTGCATTGTATTCAAAAATTGTACCCACGCTACCGACTATCATTTTAAATATTTTCTTGTTGGACGACGTTCGGTTCGTTTACTTACTAATATTCTAGAGCATCTTTTGTAATTATTGGTAGTGGTTGATGATGAGTGCTCAAAACGAAGCAATTTATTAAGCGACAAATTTGGTTTAAAATCTATTTAAAAACTTTGAAAAATGCTTGAGCAGGTGCAGTGATAATGTCACTTCTAGCGATACAAAAATGAAACAACCAAAGATCTACAAGCAATACAAAGACTATTAGAAGAGGAAATGTGCCCGTGGAGGCCGCTTGCTCCAACCGCTGGTAAGGTTATCAACAAACTCAAGGATTTCGCAGCAATCGTCGATTAGTTGCAGGGTCCTTGTAGATAAGATAAAATCTTTCCAAACAGTTGCTGATTCTTGTAGCAAGACAACGCACCATGGATGCGACTTTAACTAGTTCTCAAAGCTGTAGCAAAAATTAAAGTAAAATTTTTTTCATAAAAAAGATGCTTATCTAATATGGCTCCAATGGCTCTAGTATGGCTCTTTCCGTTCATTTAAAAAAACCGCTTCGCTTTTATATCAAAAGGAAACGTTAAGCGGAACTCTTTCGTAGCGACCGATGAATTAAAAAGCCAAATGACTTGAAAATAATGTAAAGCGTACTCAAAGTAAAAATTCCCCTTACATTTTGAACATCTTCTGTTTCATACTTCAAAGGGCATACAACACCAGTCGACCTAATGAACCGCTTTTTTTTTTTTATTTATTTATTTCTTTTTTTGTATATTTTTCATTTCCGCGGTAGGGTGTTTTTGTTTCCGACATCAAGAAATTCGTAAGAAAGAGTGCATAAAACATATATATTCCTGATCAGGACCGTTGTTCGTCCGGCCATCTGCATATACACTCTATGCCCATCCGTCTTCATCTCCATCTCTCGAAACGGTCCCCCTGTGCGCCTGCCTCGCTGTCTGTCAATCTGCACACCGTTTTTAAAAGTTGTGCGGACGCAACAATTGAGATAAAAAGATGGCTCTGTGCCTTTACTTAATTAGCACATTTTTAGAAGGGCTTAGCTTCGTCTAAAGCTGTTCCTACGGTTAAGACCACCTTTGGCTATTCCAACTTCCACACTGTAGGCAAAATTCACACAAAGATTGATAAGGCAACCCAAAGCTGTGTCTTACAAAACATTTCAAAACTTTCATACATTGTTTGATGATGGTGCTGTAAGCTACCTAAGGTGAGTATAAGTTTCTCTTGTTTGTTTTTAAATGACTTAATGTAAACCTTAGTAAACTGTTTCTTTCCACATATCATATTATTATAAGTGTTTTTTATCTTATGAAATAATATATATTTCCTACTAAATTGCATTTCTACTTCTCAATACAACACGAACAAGAAGAAGAACAAAAAAGTTGAATGCAGGTACAAAAACGTTTAAAACATTAAATAATGAAATTTACTAAGAAACTTTTCTTTTCTTTAAAAAGTTTTATGCTAAGAAAACTTCGCCTATGTATAAATAATAAGAAAAAAAAATAAAAATAAAAAGAAGCAAAGAAAACAAAAAAAGTAGAAAAAGACTTTATTTAATATGCATACATACTCACCTCTTTCCCCTTGAAATGCAAAGTATCATAAACTTCCGGCCTGCCTTCGATATTCTTTAAACGTACTGGCTTGCGCATCAATATGCTGCGACCTTCGTCATCAACATGTATAAAGCTACCGGCACGTGCTCGAAAATCTGTTGACATTCTGCGTTGTTGATTTTTTGGCGAAGGTGAGAGATCACGCGTTCTGGTAACGGAATTCTTTACACCGGAAACGCTGCTATTACTGCCATTGATGTCAATTTCTGCAATAAGATTTGCGGTACGATTCGATACGTTACGTTCACGACCCGGCGAAGTTCGTACATTTTCCCCGGAGCTAATTGAACCGCGTGCCGAAACACTCTGACGTTTTGAATGCGATTTAACAGATGTGCCGCTAATCGCATTAGTTGCAGCATTGCCACTAGTGTAACTATTATTCGAGATTTCACCTTTATCCGCTTGATCTTCGTGTTGATATGCATGTGCATGTGCATTCGATGAAATCGTCTTTGATGTCGTTATTCTCGTAGACGTTGTCGTATTAAGCACTTTACTGCTTTTATTATATTCATTATGAATGTCTGCCTGTTGCTGCTGCAACAGGTCCGTATCGGTTATCGTAATAGTAGCAGTGTTGGTTGGTGGTGAATGAGAAGTGGATGATTGTTGTTCTTTGTTTGATTGTTTTTGTTGTGATAAAGGACTACGTTTTATGGCCACCAAACGTATGTTTTCCAATATTGAAGTGAAATGTGACATTTTGTTTGCTTTTTAACATTTGCTATGTAAATAAATTTTCATCATCGTTTTTTACACGTTGCTCTCTTTATTGCACGTAAAATGATATATAGGCGGATAATCTAAGGAATGCATATACATTGAATTTTGCATCTTGTTATACTTATATCATTCATTCTACAGTAAGGTATAGGAGGGATATCTATTGTATCGGATCTATCGTTACCTTTCATTTCTTTAAATTAGATCCGGTTCATTCTTATACGCTGAACAAATTGAAAAATTTTAATTTACATTCAGGTCAGGTTCAGTTTTGATAGACACTAACTTGGCTTGTTGTCAATAAAAATATTATTACGAAAATCATACAATTAAAGATATGAGTTTTTACAGAAACTAGTCGATTTTCTAAGAAACCAAATCCTAAGCGAATGGGAAATGCAAGAATACATTCAACAGTTAGCAAAACATTTAGTTGAAAAAGGGATTAACACAAGAATTTCCCGATCAAGTTAGGTCCTCATAATTTTCTAATAAAACGGTATATAAGCAGAATAATTGCAGTAAGCAAAGTCAGTCGAGGTTTACACGCTTCGTGAGGCATAGAGACCACGTTTCTCTTCTTTCATTTATGTTTTTTTGGAAATTCTCATGCAATTTCCTAAATCGAACAGGGACCGTTTTCTATTAATACTGCGTATATCAAGCTATTTGGCTGAACGCTCGCTTATTTTCCGCTTACGTCTATAGTGGAGTGCGTTAGCGATGGTCTTTAGATACCTTGACGATCGCTTAAATGCCTTTAAGAGAAAATGGCCGAATTCATCTGCTAAGGACAGTGGACGAGTACAATCGTTAATAGAAGGATTTGAATAATTTTTAGTTCTTTCAATACATAGCACTTAGCTACATATATTGGCCTATGGATTTATACTATTGCTAATAATGTAAAACAATTGTATAAATTGAAAAATGACATAGAAATATTTTATAATTATATATAAAATAATTAATTCAAAACGATAATGACCTAGGAGAAATTTGAGATTGAAATTATTTTTAAAATAATCTGAGCCGAAAGCATATTTGAAATATTTAAAAATAAATTTTAAAACTTTTGACCTCACATCGTACACCCGTAAGCTGTTATTAAATATATTCACTGCTGCTTCTTAATCAAAACCAATCAAGTAATCTTTCCATAAAATGCTTTTATAAAATATTAAAAAATTTTCATAGTGCAATGAAAAAAAAAAATCATAATTATAAATGACATATATGTAGTAATTAAAAATGACTTAAATTACTTGACTTTAAATTGATTAATTTTTTGCCTATAAACGACAACGCAATACATATGTAGTAGTAACACCCTCGTAAAAACATGGTATTTATCACAATAATTGCCTTTGATTATGCAGAGACAATCGTGTTAATGTATGCTACTGTGAATACTGTTTGCTTAATTACTATTTAATACGTATTTCCATCTGAGAGTGAATACGCATATACGCATACCTTACTCACGCCGAATATCCTCTTACCACTGCCAACCTATTAAACTTCATGTATGCTGTGAAATAAACCATTATTTACAAGAGAAGCGTTTATATGCATTTGTATATCATTTAAAATTTAATTATGAGAATCTTAGCGAAATAGCGCGAAATAATGCGGAATAGTAAGACTTAATCAAGCTGTTAGTGACTTAATGAAATCCTTTAGGCAACAATTATATATGAAATCTAATAAGAGTTACGCTAATTAGAGAAACTGAACTGAACTGAACTTTTATACGAACAAAACCTATCATAAATTAGTTTAATAAAGAATAGAATAAATTACAGGGAGTCTATCATACGAGCGTTTACCGTTTTCACTTTCATATAAATAGGAAATTATATTAAAATAAAAACTTGCAAAAAAAAATTTTTTATTTAAGTGAAAACTTGCTAATTGCAATCACGCCAACGTCTACATATATTGCAATAAGAAAGCTATTAAAACGAATGTGTAAAGCTTTAAGATATTATTATCGGCTTAATGTCCGACACTCGTTTGTTTGGTTTTTTTTTTTTTTGCTTAGTAAATACCTTAGAAAATACCTTAAATAAAATTTATAATATATAACAAATAAAATCCGCCATTAAATACCCAAACAGTTATTCATAGAACGTCTTTCAAAACTAATGCGTTATATGGGTCGTAATAGTGATCCGATCCGAACCATCTTCAATAGCATTCTTTCTTGGACCAAAATACGTTAGTGAACCATGCTTCATCAAAATATCTCAAAATCGCAGATGGACAGACGGACATACAAGCTTAGATTGATTCAGAACCGATCGGTATAATAAAAAATGATGGGTCTATCTCAAATCGTTTCGGCGGCTGCATGCATCCCCTGAAAGTTAATGTACCCTAGTGTCACAGTTGACGTAGGGTATAAAAATTTAGCCGCAAAAATTTAATAAATAAAGTGTACAAAATCTTTTGAAATAATGTTCTGCTTCGGTTTTAAATTCTTTCTTTACACTTTAACTAGATTAAACTCCACCCACAATCCGAATTCAATTAGTTAAATCTCGAAATTTAGAAATCTAACGCTTGGTATGACTTATATAATCCCGCTTAGTTATTATTTAAGTATATATACGCTGTAGTAGGTATGTAATAATATTTGTGGTATATGTATAATATCGCAGAAGATATAAACGGTCAAGTCTGCTATAATGCGGTATTTTTATGACAACATTTCTATAAAATGCGTAGTAAATATTGAGACAGTGGTCCTACAACGCATCTCCCCATTACCCTTTTTCGTACAAGAATAAGAATAAATTGTAAGAACTTCGCTGCCTCGAGATGTTTATCTGCAACTGGACTTATTCGTTTTATTATATTTTTACAGTTATTCTTAGTTCCAAACTATTGCTTTCTATTAATTTATTACTTATTTACGAATATCTATACGACACCTTACGAATTCATTTTTTTTGTATTAATTCCAAGTTTCCCGTGATGTAGTTTCCATAAAATAGAATCAAGTCTGAATTTCATATAAAGCGATACGAATACATCGCAGGGAAATTTGTTGAAAAAGATTGAATTAAACTGAAAAGAAGACGAGATTCCTTCTAGAGTGAGTATTACTTTTATCATATCATCTAACAATTTTTGTATAAAGTAACTTAATTGATTTTGTAAGAGTACGTTTTATATTACGTGGACAACATTAAGGTTTAATTTACCAACTTTTACATCATTTTATTATATAATAAAAATATTAATTTTTTACTTAAGCCAGTAACGCATACGTAGTGGATTATATAAAGGTAACCTTCACGTTATGTAGACAAAACCTTCCAGTTGTAAGTCTGTTAGTCTGTGAATTGATTTAGTGGAAAGATATCAATTAAATAGTCTCCGCGATAGCATATACAATGGGTGCGAGAGCGCATTTTAAGAACGCATCCTCTGAAGCAGTTACAAAAAAAAATTTTTGTTAACTGTAAAGGGCCATGTAGGATTTAAGCTCTTCTTGACCTGAAGTTTGCCTTCTCTATCTCAATGCACGAGTTATGTGTTAAGTGCTTCTGCAGATATTAGAGAGTTTTCTTTGAAAATGAATAATAATGACTTCACTTGTTTAAAATAAATTCTTTCATAGCTCGTCAAAGGCAACCACGTTGCTTAGTTTTGGATTTGGGAAAAGCCAGAGGGTTTTGCAGAAAAATCAATAATACACTGCCATGCATGGGAGGTGATCGCCTTATATGGGAGGTGATCGAAAAACTAGTTAGATCCGAACCATTTTCAATAGCGTTCGTCCTGTTGCCAAAACACACCAATGTACGAAATTGCATAAGAATACCTCAAAAAATTTGCAGACCAAATATGAATAGACATAGCAGCTCAGAAAAAGAAGAATCATTTTATCAGAAGAAGAAGAAGGATCATTTTCTAATTTGGCCAATATATTGAAGACTGCGTCTATATCAGGCCCTCCTGCGTGTTACTTACGTTCGCATAAACACTTGTACCCAAGTGATGTAAGGTATAAAACTGAGATGAACACAGCTATTTACGATACCCACCGCTTAAGTCAAGTTTTTTTTTTTGCGCCCACACTATAACAGATGTTAGATGCAAAAATAATTAATTATCTCTAAAAAGAGAGTTGAAAAGTGCTTTATTTCATTTACATATGCATCGCTAGTTAGACAAGTTTTCCGCGTACGTGAAAGAATATGAATTTCTTGCCGAAAGTATTACCGCTTCTATCCCATCCACGCAATTCCTGCATATTGGCATTAGAAAGGGAGCACTACTTAGACAAAGACTAAGTCGTCGTTTGAAGCAGATGCTAATCAGAAGAAACAACATGTGATGAGTAGGAAGCCCGCACTTACTTTTTAGATGCAATTAAAGAGAATGCAAAAGAGAAGAAAGAAATTTGCTGACCTACAATACCACATCTCGTTGCAAAGCAAAACAAAATATCTCAAGTTTATCTTACATGTATGTTGACACAGCTGCCAATGAGCTTCTTTTTCCCTCCTTTTTCTTGTGTTTAACGAACCGCTATATTTATCATACGACTATGAGATTTATAATTTTAAATGTATTGATTTATGGCAGAGAAGTTAAGGGTGTCGTGTGCAAAAAGCTTTTTTTAACGTAAAATAAGGAAAATTTCTGCAATTTTCATATATTTCCAATAAGTGATCGCAATAAATCTTTGAAAAATTTTCGCGTAAGAAAAATTTCTCTTTTAGAAATAATAGTTCAACTAATACTAATACTACTGTTATGCAACATCACAATTTCATATGATATATACGTAATTGTCACAACAACCTATCATAAAAAACTTTCTGTGGTATTTATTTCGACGGCAATAAAAAAAAGAAGAAGAAAAAAAAAACACTTAATTAACTTAAAAGATTATTATAACTTTTAAATTAAGCTTTAAACAAGTTTTTATTGTACTTTTGCATAATAGACGATAGTAAAGCAGACGAACTTTTTGTGGTACTTCTTTGTGTCTAAATATATGCCTCTGTGTAAACATTTAGTGAACAATGCTAAAAATGAACGACATGTTTCGATGCTTCTTGTATTGTTTTGTAAATAAAATTCATTCATAATAAAACGCGTAAGACAAGCTGGAAAGAACGAATTTCGAATACCCACCGAAGAGAAATCTGCGCAATTTTCAATTTGATCGTTGCGATTACTACGACATGGTAGCAAAGTATCATTACTAAGGTTAGTATTTAAAGTTAGTTATTAAAGATAGTATCACGTAAAAATGGACGCACTACCGAAGAGGATGTTCACTGAAAACAACGTCAAATATATATAACTTTGTAAGTTCACAAAAAAATAATTAAAAGATTAATTAATTTTGGCAAATGAAGGATTTTCAAATATTCTTGGGAGCACACTCTTTCCTCCTTCCTAGCTTACTTCAAAGTTGCAAATTATTTGCATAGAATTCATCGAGCATTAGACGATTTCCTCGAGATATCGACATAAGAAAGAATAATATAAAGTTTTTTTTTTTTTTTCTTAAGAAACGCTCGAATATTGACCACAGTACGAAAATATACTTCAGCGAAAAAACCCTGCGATGCCAGCAAAGAATCTTGCTTTGATCCTGCATTTAAAATTGCAAAGGGAATCGGAGGAACCAACTTTGTATTGAACTTAACAAATAGGATTGAAGAAAAACTCGTTTCAATTTTGGAGACAAGCTTGTCGGATATATAGGTGTATAGGTGCTACAGCAGCCCCCGTAGAATATGCGTTCAGTACACTTATCT